TGGCTGAAGCTAATACTGATATAGGTACAGAGGTACAAAGCCTTATTGGATGTATTGATGATGATGATGGCAAAACAAAGTTGAGCCTTAGTTGTGGTGTTAGTGGAGATACACAGGAAACAAGTGTGGCTGAAACTAATACTGGTATAGGTGCAGAGGAGCAAAGTCTACCTGGAGCAGGTGGTACTGATGTAAGAGAGCTAACAGACAGTGGTTGCAGTACCAAAGAAGGTAATTTGGATAGCAGTTCACACCATTTGTTTCCATTATCAACTGAAGGTAAAATAATTGATAACAACAGTATCCTCCACAACAAATGAGTCAAGATATAGTGATAAAGTAGTTACACTAAACTGTTTTCAGCGGTCATCCTGCAGAGAGTTTACAGAAGTTAACTGTCCTGCTCTCAAAGATTTCAATGAGTATGATCCCATGAACTATGGATTCAGAGTTACACACATAGCAATTGGACAGACTACATATCTAGATACCGCTTATGATGAATGTCACATTTATACCTCTTATCCATCGGCACATAATATTAAAGATGATATAATTCTCCACCATCCTAATGAGATATTTGGTTATGATGGGAATGAATTCATTGTAGGCATAGTAACAAACAACCATGGTAGAGATGACGTAATGTACTCATGGTATAGAGATGGTCAACTGATGCAGTATGGACAACATCTGTGTGTTGTTGCAGTACATAATCCAGTGCAAGGTCGCAATTGGTGAAGGTGAGGAAAATGTTTGCTGACATATCAAAACCAATCCAGATAGTGGAATTCAAACAACCCAATAAACGATCATGCAGTGGCAGCTATACAATGGATACATGTTCAGCAGACACATCTACTGATAATGGAGCTATTCCTGAAATTACACAAGAAGATTTTGTGATGGCAGGTGAAATTGGTCGTGGTGGTTTGGCACAGTTTACCAAGGTGAATGGACAGGGACTCCAGTTGCAATTAAATACATGCAAATAACACGCATGAAAAGGCAGATGCTGAAAATTGTGACAAATGAAATCAAAGTAAATGAGAGAATTCGCCATCCAAATATTGTTCAGTTGATTTCAGTGTGCTATGAGCCTTCTGGAATATATCTTTTATCAGAATATATTGAAGGATATAATATGGAAGATTGTGCATTTGACGATGATATCAAACAAATAATGAAACTTTCAACAGAAAACAAGAACAACATTGTCAAGCAATGTTTGCAAGGGTTGGCATACCTTCATGCACTAAAGCCTCTTATAGTTCACCAGGATATTAAACCAGCAAATGTTGTGATTGCAGCAGCCACTTATCTCACTAAAATATGTGATATGGGCATGGCTAAGGTAAAATCCATTCAAAGTGTCACCTCAAACACTATGGTTGGCTATTGAGCTGATACCCCATCTTACATGGCACCAGAATGCCTTCTCCATAAAGAAAAAGCGAAGACTGCCTCTGATTTATGGTCTGTAGATATGACTCTTATTGAATTTATGACAGAACAAGATGCTTGGAATATTGATGATGATGAGGTTGAAGATCCTTTAACCATAATACTACAGATGATGAGTGAAAAAATATAAAGGATTCTATGAACCACTATAATATACTAAACAGATGCGTTGAATATGTTCCATCAGTGCGTCCTTCAGTGATTGAAGTCTTGTCAGCGTTTCAGTAATTGTGTTTTGAATCATTGTTGTTTCAATCCATATTAGCTGCATAAATAACAGTTAATGCTTTTGTTGTCAGTCTAGCCATTCAGCGATTTATAGTGACACATTAAGGCTGCATAGATAGTGCTATTATGACTAAGAAGACATTTCATTCTAATCAGCATTATATGGTTTATGTTTTATTTAACAAATCCATAATTGAGTATAATATGAGGTTATTATGAATGCCTCAAAGTATGCACAAAGACAATACATCGGAGGTTGATGTGCAGCGTACTGTACGAGTGCATACTTTGAGGTATTCCCGTGATAACTTCATTATTATACATCTTTTCCTTCCAAGGATACACCATGGGAATGTCAAAATCCGAAAAGTTTAGAACAGAATTAGTGAACTTCTTTGTGTGGAGTCTGGTCAAATCTTAAATCTTTCATAACTTTCATAATATTTTGGGAAAGTTTTCAGAAATTCTGAATTTTGAGTTGTGAATTTTGAGTTTTGAAATGATAATACTTAGAATGAAACCAAGTGTGTTAATTATTTATTTTTATACAAGTCTAATATAATAGTTATCCATTATATGCTATGGGTCATGGAACAGGGAAATACATACACATCTTTATATTGCTCTACTATATATATCATGAGCATTTTGCAGAGTGGTCCTACCACTGGACATGTTCAAGATTATCAACCGCAAAATAACTTGCTAATGTAACTTTGTTTTGGTGGTCAATAAAATAGTCAATAATTTCAACAACCATTAACAACAATTTCTAACTAAAAATTATATGTAATGTATTTTGTTTAAATGTGACAAAGCATCATTTTTCTTAGTCCATGCTCAAAAATATTGTATTATGCATATGAAGTGTATTATGCTTAGTATGATTTTAATGCTTCAGATCAAAACTTGTCAAAATCACATTTAATATTTGAACATGACAGTGTGTAAAGGAGTCTTGTGCGGTCTAGGGAGGTGTTTTATTACATATTTCTTATACTGGTGTGATATAAGATACATTTTATCTCACATAATAGAACAATATGTTTGTTTTCATATTACATGCACTTGTAAAACAAAATGGGGCAAGGATCACTAGGATTTGTAGCATTAGTTTCATAATGATTTTTGTCCATCTGTGCAAAATATTGTTCACTGAAATATCTAAAAGTCGATTGGAATGATACATGGTACAAAAACACTATGGGGATGCAAGATCTGATTAGTTGTTGGTGCCATTTTATTTATGCTAATTGTTAAATTTGTATATTTTCTTCCATGATATCCACTCCCCTGTTAACTTTTCTGTGCAGAAACCATGCATATTATTTTGCTAATTTGCATATGTAATTGCCAACTTTTAGGAAAATTATATATCCAATATCTTGGATATGTTTCTCCTTTTTTTTAATAATGTGAACCACAGTGCCCTCTATCATCAGTACAGCTTCCTATACAGCTCCCCCCCCCCCCGAGTTATATTTTTGCTGCATCTCCTATTGTCCTTATAGTACATACATTTTTTATAACTTTTTCTTTTATTTTTTTCACGGCTATCATTTAAAGCAATCTTTTAGATATGTACGAAAACATTTTTTTAAATTGCTACACCAGTCAATGGGG